ATTTGAGGAAAACTAATAATGTTTGTCATCGTAATTTTCCATGTCTAAAACACGATATATAATAAAACAATTAATAAAACAAGTTTGAACAATTATGCATCATTATTTACTTATAAAATTCAAGTATCAACGCACTTGTAAAAGAGCAATAAACCAGTTATATGGATTTGAGATTAGTTGGTGCCTTGAAAATAATGAGTGCATGACTCAAACTACTTATTACAAAATTTTAAATAGCTAATCCCCAATTATATATGAACCTAACTCATCAACATCATCTAAAAATCTCATAAAACTAAAATTCAAACTTCTCCTCAAAGATGAAAAAAAAAAAATAAAAAATAAAAACAATATATATACTCTACAAAAGTCGTCAATGTCATCTTCACTGTATAATTCACCTAATAATATTATTATATTTTCAACACTCAATTCTTTCTCTTTGAATTTTTTTTTAATATGACAATCTTCAACACTAACAAAAGGAAATATCTCATTGACAGATAAATTAACGTCTAATAATGTCATGGCACAACATCACACCTAATCCTAAAACTATAATTATTAGACATCTACCTATTAAGTAATTCGTTTAATAATGTACCAGACACTTTTTGATTTTCAAACAATGACATTGTTTCCTTGAACAATGTCATCGAAATCTGCCTTTTCTGAAAATCAATTAATGTAGAATTTATATTAACTAACAGTTTTATATCCTGCAATGTCTTACATGTATCTTAAACCAACAAAGTTAATAAAAATATTAATCACAATCATGATAACAAAACAAGTATGACATTCAATATTTACTGATTTCTCTACTAGTGTCAACATTATGTTCATCACTATAATCATTGCTCTTAATATGTTTTTGACAAACCATATAACTACTTTTACTTATTCAAAATTGAAAATCAATATAACAACTACCTTAACATATCATAATACATACAATTTTGTCATAATGATTCATCAATAGTTATGAAACCAACTTAGTGATACAAAGATCAATTCCTAACATTCAAAATAAATGTCTAAAAAAGTATCAAAACATCAACAAAACAAGTTTTAACTTTCTGACAACAAAATATATGTCTCTTAACAATTTTTTTTCACATAAATGTTTTTATTCTACACATCACAAAATAAACTAGAAAACACCAACATATTCAATTACTCACTCTAGTTGCATAGTTGGTTTTGCTTCCTCTGTTGACATACCTCCACACCACACGATCTACCACACACTTTTGACAATGGTTGTGAGAAAACAACAAACCATGATGACAGCTAAAAGAAAAAAGCGTGACTCTGAATGAACTGAAACAAAAATAACAACCAAATCTGAAAGAAAAAACAGAAACCAACTGGGCAACTGACTCTCAACCAACTAGGACAAAAAGGAATACCTAAGGGAGAAGTCACTGTCAACGAACTCAAATAAATAGGGAAACAAAAGGAGATAAACAAAAACAAAAATGATTGCGCAGACTCTGAAGGCACCCACACTGTGAAAAGTGGATGACTACACCACTTCAACCATCACACAAAACCATACACGGGAACAATTAGGAAAAACAAACAGAGAGTTCATTGTGAAGGAATAGGATGAAAACAAAAACGAGAGGGAGAGGCGATCTACACTATTAAACATACCGACAATGTAAATACAAAAGAAAACGATATATTTCATGTGAAGGAATGGAGAAAAACTGTGAAATGGAACTGCCATTGAGATTTTCCTTAACACACCATACTGTAACATGGAAGAAGATGCATCTGAAAACGAACGGATAACATTCCAATTAGGGTTTACACGTGCACTTTCCTTTTGCATTCATTTTGGATATTCTTTTCCAGTTAAGTTCATGTTAGCAGTATGTTTTCCAAGGGTGTCTATTAGAAGGTTAGTAAAAACGGGGTGTTGGCAAACATTTTCCTAAAATTTAATGACAAACATTGTATCAAGAACATTCCAGCTTTCAACTCGTTGTGATCAAAGGGTGAGTTGAATCATAGCTGACCAACCCACGGAAAATTACTTAAATAAGTAAAATATAAACAATTTGTAAAACAATTTTATGTTAAACAAATAACTTTAGATAAATAATATTATATTCAAAGGTTATAATCAATTTGGTTTAATTTTTATTTTTAATTCAAAATCTAAATGAAAAAATAAATACAAAAATATATATAAAAAAATTGATCTATTTTCAGTTTTTTTATCGAATTTCAATTATGTTTGGATCGATTTTGAACAATCGTATTAATAATATTTTTTGAACAATATGTATTTTATATATTTAGATTATAATTATGTTTTACAATTTTTTGTTTCATATATTGTCATTTATTGTTATGCACAGAGCAAGTAAAATATGTAATCATAACTTAGTTTATAGAAAATGAATTGGATAAAAAAGAAAAATATCAAATATAAATTAAAGTAGGTCAATTTTAATTCAATTCATTTTAATATTTAGTTCGAATAAACTTAAGTCCGGAAATATTATAAGATGTTGAATTAGTCAATTTTAAAAAATAATTACTATAATTAAAATATATATATATATATATATATATATATTATTTAAAAAATGTTAGAATTTATGTGTCAAAATATTTTTTAAAATTAATTTTATTTGTATGACTTAATTTTAAAATATAAATATATTTTAATTAATTTAAAAAAAATAAAAATTATCTTATAAGTTATTTTATTATCTTTTAAATCGAGCCGAAATAACTTATTTTACTTCTTGACATAGAATTGATTGACTTATTATTAAGTCAGATTAAATCACTCGTTAATCTTATGAATCCGATTTTCATTGAATATGCGATTCGTTCATTTATAGTTTAAACAAACATTTCAATTATATCCAACAATTTAAACAAGTTAAAAATAAAATTAAAAAAAATGTTCGACGATTTTTTACATAAATAAGTTTTGAAAAAAAAAGAGAGTATATTTAACTTTTCTATAAATAATTTATATTGTGTAAAGTATTCATGGAGAGTATTATGATATGAAAATCTTATATATAGTGAAGTCCTTAGTATCCCTTCTTCCTCTCCTCCATTCTTATGTTTCTTATTGGCAATGGTTTGTTATTATACCTAGCGACGTCATTAATATAAAATCAATTGTTCCTCGTCGCAAAAAAGAAAGTTGTCATGACATTTACTTTCACCGTTTCTTGTTTTATTTTTCTTCATTTTTATTGTACGCTCTCTCTTTTTCTTTCCAAACCATATATCAAAAGCTCAATTCAAACCATTCGACTCCTCCAAACAACATGAAAACATTATTGAAGTAGGTATGGATTTGTTGAAGAAGAATTGGAAGGTAGGAAGCAAATAGGATATGGTGTTAGATGAGGTTGCGAAAGGACAATGACGGTGAAGAATTTGATAAGATGGTGGCGTTACGGATGTTGTTGATAACTCAGAGAAAGGAAAGAGTAAAAATTTAACAAATCCAAATTGATGAGGTTAAGGGTTACAACGCATCGACAATATAACTGGAGGTGACAACATTGTTTTTATTTGGTAGGGATAACATTATAGTAGTTTAAAGAAATTTCATGCTGGAAAAGGGAAATATGTATATACAAAAATAGAGAAAAAAAAAACAAATTAAAGAGAAAATGATAAAAATAATGATGACAACACTAGTGGTAAGTTAGGATGTTAGTTATATAGGATAACATTGAAATGATTAGTGATGGTTATATATATATATATATATATATATATATATATATATATATATATATATAGATCATAACACATGAATATGAATACTACAGAACAAAAAAATAAAAATTTCTCATAATATTTAATGTATCATTAATTAAAGAATTGAAAATTTCGAACCAACTCACTCTTTGATCTCTCATCACTTCAAAATTTGTAAGTTTTAACACATAATCAATTAAAGAAATAAAGTTTAAATTAAATATTATTTTTCTAAATAGACTTATGGCCAATCCACCCACTGCAAGTTCAATCTAGATTGTATGTAAATTAGGTTATAACTTTTATTATTATTATCTTTTCAACCCAAATTCGTGATGATTAGATTGACCCACAAATTTAGACCTATTTTTTTGATTACATGTGGATGTCAAATAATAACGCAGACAACAAGAAAAGGAAATGAAAGAAGAGACCAAGGAACTTTTGAACAAAACGAGAAAATGAATAATAATAATAATAATTAAAACAAAAACAAAATATCATACAACATCCAACTTATTAAATGACATTTTCCACAGTGGGAGACTTGAAGAACTTCCCCCTAGCTCACACACTAAACCATAAAGGATATGTTTGAAAAGAATAAAAAACTTATCCACAAATACTCATAACTTTGTTTTAAATAAAACAATTTTTTTTATAAATTAACTTAACTTATAAATGAGTTAAAAATCAGATTTTGAATAAACTAATAAGAAATAACTTTTAGAAATTAGTTTATGCATATACTAATTATAACTACTAAAAAAAATATGTTTTCTCTTATATAAATGTTTATGAACAAGTTTCTTGAATAATAATAATAAGAAGATTGATTATTACTATGTGTGCATTGTGGCCGAGGCACCAGTTATATTTGGATATTAAATTGTAGGATGTATAAATTGTTTAGAAAACAAGAAAAATATATACATTGGTATAACAGATTCTAAGAATTAGATTTCACCCTATGATTGCTTATTATATATTTAAAATCTATAATATCGTAATTATCTAACCATGCATGCAGGAACAGAAAAGTACTACCGAGTTAGGTACTTGTATCATCGTGATTCATATTTGAAGAAGAATAAAGAAAAGAAATAAACTATACCTTCATTTTTTTTATGTATATTTATTTTGCAATTGTCTCATTACTCTTCCAATTAATGGGTCCGGGCGTCGTAATTTATGGTCACAACAAAACCTGGTTAATTAATCTGAAAATCTAACTCAACCCTTAGGCTTTTGCTTCAAAAGTCCGGCGAGGGAAGCGCAGTGAGTTGACTTATAGTCGCATTTTGCACAACAGGAATCCAGCAGTTCAATGACTTTAAGGCACCTATCAAAATGAATGCCGTTAAAAGAAACATTTACCAACTACTCAATATTTATGAAATTGCATGTAATGAAAGCACATATCTTTCCAATTAAGTACTATTGCAGCAGATTACCCTCAGCTCTAAAGTGTTTTTTTTTTTTTCCGGATACCATTTTTCTCAAAAATACTAGTGTTATCCGCCTACTCTTCGGAGGTATTTCATTCTTGCTCATGTTACACTATCCTAAAAACTTTTCCATTTTTTCGTCATACATTATCTATATCCGAGACTTCCTACACACCTACTCCTATCTCGTTCCAATTTTGCACTTTAGAGGAGTTTCCATTCCCTCCCAACCCATTTTCTTCCATCCTGTAATGCCACCACCTATCACTAATAATACCATAAGCTCACCTTTGGCGCCAAATCTTTTGTCTTATCCTCTGTCTGGTCCATCCTTATGAGTCCAAAATTCTCATTTTGAAGTATGCATTCTACCTGTAATCCTTCTCTTCATTTTACTTCTTAAAAGTTATCATATTTCTCGTCCCTATTCTTCTTGTTCTTTGTTTCTGTTCTTAAAAATGTAGGAGAAACCTTTGTCCATCAAGGATGACAAAAAGTTATGATAGACAATACGTGTGCACTAAAGAATAGTGGAACTAAAGACCTCGTTCCTCTACCACCAAAAGTCAATTGTTGGTTTTTGATAGATGTACCCGACCAACGTTTAATTGATCGTCTTAAGGCTCATTGACACACAACTCAAATATATGGCTTAGATTATAGAAAGTTAATTGTTGGTTCTCAATAGATGTACCCGACCAACATTTAATTGATCATCTTAAGGCTCGTTGACACACTACTCAAATATATGGGTTAGATTATAGAAATATTTTCTCTCGAGCTGCAAAATGCCTTTTGTATGAATATTCTTATCCATTGATGTCATTCATAGTTGACCTCTCTATTAGTTGAACATAAATAATGTCTTCCAACAAAGTGATCCGAGTAAGTCTACATTGAAAAACCTTCTTGTTTTGTTGCTGAAAGAAGTCTTCTAGTCTTGTATGTTGATTACAAAATTTTTTATATGAGCTTAAACAATCACCCAATGCATTATTTGATAGATTTAGTATTGTGATTCAACAATTTGGTATGACTCAAAACAAAGTTGATCATTATGTCTTCTATCATCACTCATCTACTTCTTGCATCTAGTTGATTGTTTATGTTGATGATTTTGTCATCAATCATCCACTTGTTATATTTATCTAGTTGTTTATGTTGATGATATTGTCGTCAAAGGAAATTATCACACAAGTTAATCGACATCTTTTCAAGCATTTTCAAACAGATGATCTTGGCAAACTAAAATATTTATTGGCAATAGAGATAGCACAATCCAGAAATGGGATCATCATAAGAAAGTTTACAATGGATATTTTGGAAAGTTGAACTACCTTATTATTATTCATCCAAATATCCAATGGATCTCAATGTCAAATTTCAATAAAATCAAGGAGAGCCACTTGCAAATCCTAGAAGGTACAAACAATTGATAAGAAAGTTGAACTACCTTATTATTACCCATCCAGATATCTCATTTGTAACAAGTGTAGTTAGTCATCTCCTCGATTCTGTGTAAGGAACATTGAGACCCAATGGTTCGCATTGTTTGACACATCAAAAGAACCTCCAGAAAAAGCCTTTTGTATAAAGACAAAGAACACACATGAGTTGTTGTGTATTCTTATGCAACTTTGATGCGGACATCAAGACCCAGACCCATGATAAAAAAGAAGTCCAAGATTTAATGCAAGACTTAGGAGGACTTGTGACAAGAGCAAAAGTTAATAGGCCTAATTTGAGCCCTGAACACAGGTATGCTTCACATAATCATTGAGGCATGTTACATATACTTGCACTATGGGATTTTAATTTTCTTTATTTACTTCCAGAGGCATTAAAACAAATTGTATTTACAATTGTGGAAATGAATGAAAACATCATAATGTTATTTTATTTTTTTTGGAGTGTGAGTTATCCTCTCTACTAGGGTTCTTGCTAGAACCATCAATCTTATCAAGAATTTTTCGAATTCTTGTGAAGATCAATTCGGCTTATCAATCTTTGATTGTGACGTCTTTGTTGTCATCATTATATTCTCCTAAGTTCTTTAATCTGTGTACCCAAATTCTAAATTAGTTCATTGTGTTGTTTGTTTTCTATTTTAGTTCAAGTTAAGTTCCGCTTATATCTTCCAAAATACTAGGTTTTTTACAATGTTTAATATGCCCAAATTATAATTGAGAACATCATTGTTCTGATTACTTTGATATCACTCATTTCCAAGTTTGTAGCTTGAGATATAGGTACAAGATAAAGAACATGAGTTAGGTTTTGGTGTATTTCTGAGCCTAGGTAGATCATTTATCAGATCCAGTAGGAAAATTTCCATCAAAACTGGCCACACTACCCCATTAATAGAAAATCCAACTCTACTTTTTGTATATTTGTTGGAGATAACCCTGTCTCTTCGAAAAACAAAAGACAAATATTGTAGCTAGCTAGGAGCTTCTAAGGCTCAAACATGAGAAAAATGGTTGTAAGGAATCGATTCCAGTACAAAGAAAACGACTAATTCAGATTTGATAAGAAGTTTTAAAATCTTAATATTTTCCATATCTTTTAATCTAATCTTAAGGGTTTACAAATCAATTTGATCTTATCTCTATGTAAAGAATTGTTTTCCTTTAACAAATAATAACAAAAGCTAAAGAGTAAAAGGGTCAAATTGTTTTCATGAGCCAGTGTAGTGCCAGGGTTGTGGCCCATCAATTTGACTTACTTGTTTGTGAAATACAAGCAAGTATGGGATTCTTTAGTGGTTATAGGAAAGGTTTTTCCTAGTTTTTAAGGGTGGATTTCCTAAGGTTTCTAGAAGTTCAGCAGTTTTAATTGAGCAATAAGAATGGGTTTGTTATGTTTCTCAAATTTGGCTTCTTTGAAAGTTGTGATTCGAGCTCAAAGAAAATTGAATCAAATGCAGAGGGCTTTGTTGAGATGAAATGAGTCGTATTTTTCTAGAATCTTTCAACAAGCACCTCTAGCTTATCCAAGAGAGAAACAAGATCTCTGATAGAAATCAACAAATCTATTGAGATACATAGATATTAATCTCATTTCATTTTTCCTGCTGAGTAGCACAAACTGAGGTTGACATGATTTGGTTCGAGTATGTGCATAAAAGTTGTGTATTTGTACCCAAATATGCCTACAATGCCACATTCTACAAATGTGAAAGAAGTCAATCTGAAATGGAGGACAAGACTAGATCCCAGTCCCAAGGAGACAGTCTTGTCATCATAGGAGAGTGTCCAATTCTGAATAATATGGATTAACATTTTCCTCGTTGGAATCTTGTGTATTTTGGCAGAATATCAGGTCCAGACCAGAAAACTTGACAATGATACCATAATGAAATTAATGATGTAAGTAAACAGAAATAAAATTTAATAAAAGGAGAGCATAGGTTTCTGAAACTGAAATTGTCATTATGAGATGAGATACACACAAGTATAACAGCTAATTCATACCAAAAGAGACCAATTAACACAAAAGCAAGAATGGGTAGCTTCAGCTTGATGTGCATCCATTCTCTTTAGCCATAAAAAAAAACATTTGGTTAGGCTAAGGTGCTTCCTTAAAGATGTACAACTAACAAGTAACTTTAGCTGACAATCCCTAATATAAACACTATTGGAATGCTTTCCATTTACAGACTCTAACATACGTTTTCCTACATGACCGAACCTAGTCTTCCAATCAAGATATAAATCTGGTATTTCTCCAAGATGTAAGGGCCCAGGTCAACCATTAAGAGCTCATTAATGGGATATTATGTGCTATAGCAAGTTGATGTTACTTGTTACTGCAGTGTACACTGTACAAACAACTTAACCCCCAATAATATTGAACTGCCACTTGATACTGATTACATGTATTGAAAACCATCAAATATCGAACCCAAAGATAGAAATCTGGTTAAACAAACTGTGTTTGTTCATTCAGGCAGTGTGATTTGGGGAGATTCTGTTTCCGTCAATTGACATGCTAGACCTACCCAGTTGCTTACACGAGCACAAAAAGAGTATCAATCTGTCACAAACAATCAGTGTTAACGGAAGGGTTGTGGTTATAGTGAGACCATGATATAGATGTTCTTCGAACCAAACTAAAGAAGCAAACACCCTCGATTTTGCGCGACCCCTAGTTCACACCTACGCCTCAATTGACGCACTGTTTGGATAGCTATGAGAAAATTTTATGAAATCATCACAGCAAAAAGGAATAGAAAGAGGGGAGTAGTTTGTTCACTCAGTCACATATCGGTAAAATAATAAACCTAATGGTTTCCACGTTCGATAATCAAGCGAAAGTTCAAATTGAAACAACACTATAAGGAGAAATCAGAACGAGACATGCAGAGCGATAATTGGTTAAAGGCGCATACTTTTGAGGAAGAAAGTTGTTCTTGGAGAGGCAAGCTTGAATGTCACAGGCCTCTTTCTTGCACGGCTCCTTGCTCGCCTGCGCCATTACATCTCTCTCCCGAAGACTCTATGGCCGAGTTACAGTATAAATATTATAAATAAATTTTGTTTTAAAATTTACATGTATAAAAAACACTACCTTATTAGATAATAAACAAACATGTTTTTTAATAAATTAGATAATAACCAAACATGTTTTTTAATAAATTAGATAATAAAATTGTGGAATACACTAATTACATATTTATAACAATTCAATAGGGAATAAATGAAATGATACTACATGTTTTTTTAATGAAGTAGATAATAATGAATATTTATAACATTTAAAAACACAAAAATTTTAAAATTACAAGAACATCTCCGCGGGTGGTTTCTTAAGTGGGATTAATAATGTTATATCATATTTAAGCAATTCTCTTCAAATTTTTATAAATTCACTCCAAGTGAATTCTTATAAGTAACTCATTATTTAACTATCACTTTTGATTTTGATGAGACTCATTATGCAGCGTCAATAATAATTAAAATATATAATTAATTATTAAAATAAAATAAATAATATATTTAAATTAAAAAAAATTAAAAATAAAATTGACATTGGAAATACAATTAACATTAATTAAAATACAAAATATTAACCAACAATGACAATAAAAATAAACAGAAAAATATTAAAAATATGAAATGATAAATGGATGTTAACACATAATACACTCTAGTTATTAATCTCATGTCCAAAACATTGCCAAATATGTTCTACCAAGTCATTTTGAAGTTGTCGATGTTGTTGTCTATCACGAAGATGTACTCTAAGTACGTTACGTTAAAAATAGGATGAAGACCAATAGTTATATCATCCGTAGATCGGAGTTTATTGACACTTTGATCATAGTCAAAGTTAATATTGTATGTGTGTCGTTCATCTTCAACTATCATATTATGTAGTATGATGCATGCATACATAATGTTCTTCAATGTATTGACATGTCAAGCACGTGCTGATCCACGAACAATTGTAAATTGAGATTGCAACACTCCAAAGGCACGTTCTACATCTTTTCTTGGTGATTCTAACCGTTCAGCAAATAGTTTTCTCTTTTCCTCTTGTGGCATAGGAATGGTCTTCACAAAGGTAGCCCACTCTGGATAAATACCATCGACTAGATAGTATCCCATGTTGTATTCTGTTTGATTCACCATGTATTGTATAGTAGGAGCTTGTCCTAACAAAATATCGTTAAATACATTTGAAGCATTTAAGACATTAATATTGTTATTCGAACCTGCGGTACCAAAAAAGGTATGTCAGATCCACAAGTCTTGTGATGCTATAGCTTCAAGTATGATTGTAGGTTTTCCATGAACACCACGAGTAAATTGTCATTTCCAAGCAATTGAACAATTTTTCCATTCCCAATGCATACAATCAATGGAACCTAACATACTTGGAAAGTCACGTGAATTTCCCATCTGAAGTAGTCGTTCGATGTCTTCATTGTTGGGTTTTCTAAGGTATTCCTCTCCAAAGATGGTGCACACTCCTGATACAAATCTCTCCAAACATTCGACAGTGGTACTTTCACCAATTTGAACGTATTCATATGTACTATCGGCAAATGATCCATATGCTAATATGCGAATTGTGGATGTGCATTTTTGTATTGGCGAAAGTCCACGCTTTCGAGTTGCATCCACCCTCATCTGAAAATATTCATCATGAAGACCAAGGGCTTCGACGATTCGAAGGAACACATGTATTTGCATTCGGAACCTTCGTCGAAAATGAGCATCATTGTAAACTGGATTTTCTGAGAAGTAATCGTTGAATAAGCAACCATGTCCTTCTTCACGATGTCGATCTATGAACGTTCTTATCTTCCTTTTCCTTCTATTGTTGACAGATTGTTGATGCCTCCGGATTGTAATCTCATTTATTCTTTCGTCAATGTCATCTTATAGTTCTTCATCTACTATTTCGTCAAATAAAGCATTAAACTCCTGATCAGAAGATGAAGACATGATGTTCAAAGGAGAATGTGGAGGTGTAAGTTTTGAGAGAAAATTAGAATGAGATGTGGTGGTGAAAATGTTGTGTGAAGTAAGTTATATATATTGGCATCAATAACGACTATATTGTAATGGCTATATTGTAACAAGTATATTGTAACGACTATATTGTAACAAGTATATTAATAAAAACTAACTTCATAAATAAATTTCAGTACAACTACAAATACATCAAATTTGCAAAAATAAAACAAATACATAAAATTACACAATAATTATAATTAAAGTCCTAATTTGCGGTTAACGAAATCACAAAACTTTTGATGAGTTTCCAATTGTTTAGGAGTCATTCCAGTTGTGTCCTTCATGAGGATTTCATACCATTTGTTGTAATTTGCAGTCTCCTTTGCTTCTGTCATTCTCTTCATTGCATCGGTTTTTTCTTTCATAGCATGTGTCAAAGCTACTAGCTCAACTGAATCAGTAGATGATTTGACAATCTTTTGTTTATTTTTCCTTTTCGCTGCCTTTTGATCGATTGGACGTGAGACTGTGTTTATTGGATCGTATTCTACGTCATCATTTTGCGCATCCATGTTAGAAGATGTTAAATACTGCCCATTATTTGAAATCTTTGACCTCTTAGAAGAGCTATCAGAGTTGTCTGATTTCCACTTGGGCTCTTCTTTTAGTAATTGCCATGCATGCTCAAAGTCAAATTTTTCGTTTACATCTTGCGAGTAAATCACATATGCATCCGACATTATGTCTTTTTTGGAGCTTCCACTTTTTCTTTGCACACGTGCTTGTTTGTAACAACAGACAAACAACTGAACTGCCTTGTTGATTTGGAACCATCGACTTTTTAGTTGAACTGGTTTCCTTTATGGAAAATGATGGCGGTAGGTGTTGTAATTCTCCATGATTCTGACCCAGAATGAATTTCTGGTTTGATCGATCTCACTATTGGATCCTTCGACATGTTCAGCCACACTTGAATAAGCAATGTGTCTTCTTCTACTAAGAAACTAACACGTGATTTTTTCTTAGACGACGCACCTTCTTCTCATTGATCATCTACCTCCAATGTGATATTTTCTAGCCCAACGGGGGATGGAGATACTAAATCAATCGTTGACTCTATAGGATTTGTAGGTTGTGGTGGGTACATAGGATAAAAAGAATATGGCAAATGATTATTGGAAGTATGTGGTGGTGGGTACATAGGATGATTATGGTAACTAGGTGGAGGTTGCTAATTATCATCGAAACCGAAAGTAGGTGGATGTGGTGTATGATTTTGCAAATAATTAATATAATTTTGGAAATTATATTGATTTGGATCCATCTTTCTAAAAAACAAATAAGAGGTGTAATTGGTTTCTAACTTGGATGCAATTAAAAAAAAATTGTCTTTCATTATGCTATCATTTATAGGAGAGTGTTGCCTCTCCAAAGATCTAAAACGGCCTGCAACGTCTCTCCCAACGTTCTCCAACTCTCCCAACGGATCTAAAACGGTCACTCAACATCTCTTCCAACGTTCACTTTCCCAAAGTTATCTTCTTTCTTTTATTCCTTCCCCGCCTCACTTTCTCCCCCCTTCCTTCTCATTTTCTCCCTATCCTCCCTTCCCCATGCAAATTTTCTTTCTCCCCTCTCCCCCACCCCAAACCTGCGAGACCAACCCCACCCTCCCTTCCCCACTTTCATTCTCTGACCCAGCCCCCCCCCCAACCACCCCAAACCCGCCAGACCAACTCCCCTACCCTCCCTACCGTCACACCCCAACCCGCGAGACCCAGCCCCCCACCCTAACCCCCCAGACGACCTAAGAGTTGGACCGCTCGCCGTCGCAGAAGCTGGGCTTACGACGAGTTGTGCCACCTGACCAGATTGCTGGATGAGGTTCATTTTCGGCTTTCTGCTTCCGGTGGAAGCTCAGATGGAGGGAACGGAGCTCCGACTTCAAGGTGGAGCCTACCTCCATGAGGCACCAGCGAACCACCTTCAGGTGAACATTCCTCTCTGATTTGTTGCATTCTCTGATTTGTTGAATTCTGTTGGTGAGAATCGCGGGAGCAAACTGAAAAAATTTGGGAAAAACAACTTTTAGGAACGGTGCTTCTACAAGATGTGGTACATCGGATTACTCCAACGATAGTTTCTTATAAGCATCGTTGCTTATAAGCAACTGGGACCATAAGCAACTCCCATTAGAGTTGCTCAAACACATCATACAAATTTTTGAATATATTATTAGTTCTTAGTTCTTCGAAGAATTTGTTTATCATTAAATGTTTAAACCACAATTTTAATCATTTCGTAAACAATAAAAATATTTTCATGAAACTATCAAAAGAAAAAAAAATTCATTTTCTTAGAAAAAAAAGTGAATGTATCATTTTCTTGAAAAACTTTTCAAGTTTTACGTCTTTGAACGAGATATGATTATGCCTATCCAAAAATTTGATTATTGAATTATAAATAATTTGAGATAAGATAATATGTAATAAATTTAAAAAAATTTAAAAATCTTATTCAATGGTGATAATCTTATTACATTGTGTTTTGAATAATCTTTGTGTAAAAATATTGTATGATATTCTGAAAATTTAGTCTAGATAAGTATTGATTTAGTCTAAAATAATTTTTTTAAATATTTTTATATGAAATGAAATTTAAAAACATTCAAAAAAGTACTTTTGTCATTTTATATTTTTAAGTGGAAGAATAAACGAGAAAATTCAACAATTATGATGTAATAATTATTTCAATTAGATTGGTTAGTCTAACTAATTTTAGCTTTTGTTATAAATAATGTAACTCTACAATACTTGTTAATAGTTTATGATTCAATTTACATTGTGAATAAAATTTACTTTCTATGTCTCTTTGTGTATACTTATTTTAGACTCATTCTCGCTAATAGTGATATCAATAACTTCAAGATCCGAGAAGGAGAAAAATGGCAATGGCAAACTGGGTTGCATGACAACATGTCAGTGCTTGATAGCAAAACTATGAATGGGTAGAACACTTGGTATGCGAAGATGAAGGTCATTTTTGGTTTTCAAGAAGTCTTTAACATAGTTTTGAATGGATATGAGGGGTTATCGAAGAACCAAAGCAAAATGTGCAACGTTTCGAGAGGCGGAGAAACGTGATTGCAAAACTATGTTTTATACTCATTAGTGTGTCGATAAAAGCAACTTTAAGAAGATATCGTTGGCAAACTCGACGAAAGAAGTTTGAAATATACTAGCGCACAGTTATGTAAGCATGGAGAGGTTGAAGGTGGTGCGACTTCAAATCTTTTTGTCAGTATGAGTTGTTGCAAATGAGGATGCAAGAAACCATCCAATAATACTTTGTAAGATTGTTGTAGATCACAAATTTGATGTAATCATGTGGTAAAATTTTGAAAAAACAAGCGATGGTGGAGAAGGTGTTAAGAATCCTCAATGCTAAGTTTTATAAGGTCTTTCGAGGGGGATTCACAGGGGAGAAACAACACCAGTGAGACATGAGTTCAACTCACATAAGGGATTGACATCATTCTCAACCTAAAACCTTAAGGCATTGAGTTATGGCTCATACTTCTTTATATATTGCTCAGTTTTCTCATTCTTACTCAATGTCGGACTTAGACTCACACATGTATTTTCCAAGAATTTTCTCTTCAAGTGTAAATTTCTCCACATTGATACACCCCCCTCAAACTTATTAATAGTCATTCCATGTACCGTCATACATCATAACGAGACACGCTCACCTAACACACTGTTAGGGAGACTTTCGATACAAAGATCACTCTCAAACTATCAGTCACCACACAAACTATTGACTTTAATACCACTATCAAGTATTTTTCCAATAGGGGCTACCAACAGGGAGATTCTCACAAATGGGACATGAGTTCAACCCACATGAGAGATTAACATCACTCTCAACCAAAAACTTTAAGGAATTGGGTTATGGGTCATACTTTATTATATGTTGTTCAACTTTCTCATTCTTACTCAATGTGGGACTTAGACTCACACTTATATTTCTCAATAGGTTTGATATAATTTTTGTAGCTATCAAAGAATTCAAAAACCTCGATTTGTTGAAACTTGATGAACTACAAGGGTCATTGGAGACTCACGAGCAGCGGTTACGTGAGAGGACAAAAGAGAGGTACAATGCAGAATAGACTTTGTTAATAAAACAAAACTAGAAGAATGAAAATAATAAAGGAAAATTAAACAAGATAGGTTGAGGAAGAGGGAGAGGTAGAGGTAGAAACAATGATGGGCGAGACTCAAAAGGATAACAAGTGAGTTGTTCATAATCGAGAGATGGCAGAGGCAGAAACTCATAGTGCAGAGGTGGTCGATCTGGTTCTGATGCTGGTAAGAAGAATGCACAATGTTACAACTATCCATGTATGACCATTGTGCTGCTGAATGTTAGAGTAAAGAAGAAGAAACAAATGTTGCATAGAAAGAAGACTCGGATGATAAAGTGTTGTTAATGATGTCCACAACAAAACTAGTGGAAACTTTTGGTGAATCTTGGTACTTGGATACTGATTGTTCTAATCACATATCGTTTCAAAAGAGTTGATTCGTCAATCTAGATGAAAATGTGAAATCGAAGGTGAAATTTGCAGATAATTTGATTATGAGTTGTGAAGGAAAAGGTAGAATCATGATCAAAAGGAAAGAAAGCAAATTTGCAATAATTTCATATATGCCCTATTTTCCAGTCATAAAACACAATTTGTTGAGTATCGATCAACTTCTTCATAAATGATATTTGATTGATTAGAGAACGAGAGAACAAATATTGAGAATCCTCAATAAGAATGGGATACCGATTTTGAAGGCAACTCTGAGCAAGAACAAAATTTGTTGAGTCGATATTTCAATATTGAATAACTTGTGTTTTAAGCAGCAATCTCTAAGGTCAATTGGTTGTGACATTTGAGGTATGATCATCTTGACTTTGATAGTTTGAGCCAACTTATAAAGAAGGAGATGGTGATTGGACTACCTCACATCCAAAAATGTAAAGACATATGTGAATGTTGCATGATAGAGAAACAAACAAGAAATCCCTTTTAAGATACGCATTAAGTCTAAAAGCAATGATATGTTGAAAGTTATCCACACCGATGTGTGTGGATCATTCGATGTTTCTTCACTAGGTGGAAAGACATTCATTAATGATTATAGCAAGAAAATGTGGGTGTACTTGCTCGAAAAGAAGTCAGAGATGTTTATTCATTTTGTCGATTTTAAATCGATGGTCGAGAAACAAAGTGGTAAAGTTATCAAAGTGTTGAGATCGGACGAAGGTGATGAGTACAACAATGGTGAATTTGCATCATTCTGCAAGTAGAAAGGTATTATGCATGAGATTGTACCATCATACACACCACAACACAATGAAGTTGCATAAAGAAGAAATCGAACGATTTCAAACAGGGTTAAAAGTATGTTGAAGACCAAAGGCATGTCGCATTTTGGGGTGAAGCGGTATCGATAGTTGTATACATCTTGAATCAGTGCCAATGAAGAGAGTGAAGGAGAAAACACCAAAGGAAGTATGGTTAGGGAGAAAGCCAAATATAAAACTTTTGAAAATTTTGGCTTGATTGCTTAGAGACATGTTTCTGATGAGTGAAGGAAGAAGTTCGATGATAGAAGCTAGAAGTTAATTTTGATAGGATATCATTCAACTAGTATGTATAAATTGTATGATTCTATCAAGAAGAAGATCATCGTTAGTAGGGATGTTATTATTGATGAGAAAGATTGTTGGAAATCGTATTTGATGGTGGAAAATCGAAGTGTTAGCTTCGATCACTAAAATGATGAAGAAAATAAAGACAATGATCGTTTGATTTCTAAAATCGAAAATGGTGGAAATCAATCGATATCAGAAATTGAAGAAGGAAAAAACTAACTGATTTCAGGAATTGAAGGAAGGAGAAATTTGACTTATAATATCGATTAAAATTCCAACAAAATTTGATAGTTTTGTGATCAATTTTGATGATATTATAACAACTGGACAAATGATTAGAGAAAGGAGGATGAGAATAATTTTGTGCATCTAGCACTATATGTTAATATCGAGATTAAACTAATTTGCTTTGAATAAGCGATCAAGAATTTCAAATAAATTGAAGCCATGAGAATTAACTGATATCGCGAAGAATTAAAAACCAATAGGAATAAAATAAGTATACAAGACAGTCGAAGTCAGACAAAACAACCGTAAGATAAAACTAGATAACTTAAAATTAAACTTGTAACAAAAGACTTTCTACGAAAAAAAGATTAGACTCCATATACTTATATTCTCTTGTTGTCAGGCTATACACAATAAAAATAATTATAATTCTCACACACTATAGTAGATGCTTCAAATGAATGTAAAATATATATTTTTAAATAGTGAGTTAGGAGAAGAAATTTATGAAACAAAATACACAACTCCAATCTTACTTTGTTTCCTTTTCCCATTTCTTGAACCATGACAAATTTTGTAAAATATCATTCCTATCTGAACATGTGATGCGAACCCTCACCTACATTTATAAATTCTCGTCTTAAGACATGACAAACAACTACAAGTACGGTAATTTCTACGTCGCATTCATCTTCCCCTTGAGAATCCCCCCACAATTTGAAAATCTCTTCTCAAATGTAGAGTCGAGGTCGACAAAGACTAAGAGCAACAACAGTTAAGATAATCTGTCGATTTGATTTGTAGAATGCTCGCTTAACAAAACTTGAAAACAACTCTTTTTCGAAGATATGATGCCACCTATCAAACCCGAAAACGAAGCATTCTTGGAGATTCCTCAAGATAAGGTCAAATCATCACAATCTATGCCAACTGAAATCAATAGCTCGCCAGGCCGGAATGTCATGTCCGACAATGGTAGCCCAAACGCGTACTAGAATGTTCTTGACCTAGTATAGCCTTCTTGTGTTTCATTCTACTGCAACATCTACTACGCTGGTCATGAAAGAGAAGTTGACGTTGAATTCCCAAGACAGATTGCAAGAGGAAAAAGCTCTGCAAGAGAAGTTTTCATGTATACTATTCACCAAAAAAAAAAAGGAATATTAACTTAAAGGGGTTTTTTTGTTAGAAACAATATTAAAATGTATTTTTTTTTAAATATAAAACAATTACGTAGCCATGTGTAGACATGCTATTTATTATTATAAACCAATTGTTTAACTTTTGAGAACCGGACCTCACGTTACCGCAAAAACGGGAGAGGACCGTTTTTCTTGAGAGAAGCAATTTAAAGCAATATCATTGAATGTTATAATAATAATTACAACCCAAAAATAACCACTACTCTCTTCCAGCCCACTCTTGTGCAGAGAATAATGTAGAGACATGGATAAAAATGTCAATCGAGGTAGAAAAGCGTCACAATCTTTCGCAAATTTTTTGCTTCTTGACAAGTTTCCATGAGCAACCTACTGTCATGGAAAGCAAAGCAAATCACTTGCTGCACGTGAGAAATGATATCCATATTGCATAACCTGCAAGTGAAAAAAAATGAAAGAAATAATGCACCAATTGTACTTCAATAATAAAATAGCTTCCTCAGAAAAAAAAAAAAAAAAGGTTAAAACAACAATTACAAGCTAGCCACATATGAATACCGAGCAGCTTATTCTTCGAATTCACATTAGCCTACAAACTAAACTTGCACTAGAGTTTGACCAAGGCCCAATCAATTAGCTGACTACGGAGAACTTTGCAATTGAGATATGTATTTAATTCTTAACTTGTACAAAAATAAAAGTACCTTTAAAATAACAGGGAGTTATAAGAAAATTAGAAGACAGTCAAAAGTGCATATATTATTTTTACCTCTTTGATTTATTTCATTTTCTTCTCTAGTGGTTGTTGATAAACTTAAATTGACTCAAAAAATTCACAAAAATACTACATTCTAGAAAGCAGAAGTTATTAAAACAACATTGGTACGGACTGTTTCTAGACAGATTTGACTGTTCTAAAATTTGGATATGTATAAAGTAAAAAGGTAAACTTCTTTTCACCATTTACAATGTAGCGCCGTTTTCAACATGGTATTTCCTAATTAGATGATTTCTTTTTTAATTATATTTGTTTCTAGAAAAATGAATAATAAAGATATTTGCACAAATTTCAAACTCAAACTCAAACTCTACCAAGATTCATGTTATAAAGAAACCAAGGTGTCATCGATTGGCTTGTATCATTACACCAAAACGTAAGACAGGAGAAAGCTACTACAAACCTGCTGGCTTCTATTAGAGGTAGATGATCATTATGGGGCTTTTCTATGACATTTTTCACCTGCATATTCAACAAAATCATTGAAATCATAATCAGTGACAAAACCGGACCAAACCGCTCAGTCAGACAAGATTACCAGGCAACATACATATCCTAATAAACACACAAAACTGGCTTTTTCAATTTTGGATACTTAAAAGCAATTAAAAAAAAAAAAACCTTGAAAAATGATGTTTGATCCTAAACATACAATTTCATAAGTCCTATCCTACAAACCAGCCTTTTTCTTCTAACAAATTTCCCTCTATAACAAAAGTACAGAAATGCTCAAGATACACCACAGGTGCATTTAATTGAGACAATCAGCTTGTAAACACTAGAATTATATTTGTTGTTTGATAGCAAAAAGGAAAAAGAAAGATAAAAGAAGAATGGGAGAGGATAATGTATCTTTAAAAACATGAAATGCACACACTCAAAGACACATGAATGAGAAGTTCACAAAAAGGAACAACAAGCAAACTGTTGACACCCAAAAGAATGTATCAGGGCTGCTCAATAGTTAATATCAATATCTAAGACATAACAAACATGACAATCCTTTGAGAACAGCCATTGGCTGAACAACAAAGCCAAGTGCTAGGCACCCCAATTTGAATCATAAAATGAAGTATTAGTGATACTGAATTATAGCTATATCAGATGAATAACTATGTCACAATGTAAAATATAGAAGAATAAAAAGTAGGACATCAAATGTTGTAAATCCCCTTGCAAGATGGACAATACTAGAGACTATAGCAGTTTTTTTGCTGAGAAAGAACTCACTTCTCACCTCAGCCCAGCAAAATACTTATTTACACTCCCCACCCACCCCCTTTCTTTTTTTCATCCCCTCTCCAAATAACCATTCTACCTATCCTCATTTTGCATGTGAACAAAACCTTCAGGGAACCACAACACAAATTGTAGTTGTTGTAGACGAATATCCCAAGGCTTTATAAAACACTAGAATCACAGATTTCTACTGTGGGACTAAATTCCCATACCATGCAATTGGATCCTAAGAGCATGATTCTCATATCCCCTCTCCATTCCCCTGCTGCCACTAGCCCATTCTGTTATGGTCTCTCTCTCTCTCTCTCTTCCATTCCCCCCTCAGCTCATCACTTGGTTTTTTCTTCTTTCATACACAAGCTCTTGTTTCTTAGGTCCATTCATTCCCTCTTTTAATCACATGCCCTCTCTTGTCCATGTCAATATACTGGCATTATAAGGACAGATGCTGACTTGATATGATGTCATGTATTAAAATATGATGGTGTGACTGCAAAAACCAAAGCACAAACTCTTATTAGTACTAATATTATTGGTGGTTCAGTTTGGGTATGCCTTGGCACAACAAAAAGGTTGCTACTTGCTACCATATGATATCATACAAACTAGAACTAGCATAAAATAGCTTACATAGTAAACTCTTCTTTGTCTTATCTTTCAAGAGAAATGAAGTGGGCCAACGACAAGTTTTCTCTCTTTGCTCTCCTAATATAATATGATTGATTAAGGAAACACCTGCTTCTTAGAGAAGCGTATAATCCAAGGGAAGAGATATGAGACTCTTGACTGATAAGGAGAGGAGGAAGGATTTTCTTTTGAATCTAGTTCAGTTGCAAACCTAAGTAAAACTCAGAACTCCATTTCTAGGAAATAAAATAAGTCATTTCAACTGTTCCCTGGCGAGGTGTGCAATCTCTTCATCTGTGGCTCTCCTACGGGAAGGATTAAGAAAAAGCATATGGAGGAGAGTTCACACTATATCAGAAAATAAAATGTGAGTAGTTTATGACAAAAAATAGAGATGAAATACAGGAATCCCTTTTAAAACAGTATAAACAGATATCAGATAGAGAAATGGAAAGGAAGATGTTCAGCGAAAAAAACTGCCACACCTAAAATAACAATAGGCAAAGAAAATGAAATAGCTTTCTTTTAAAAGGAATATAAACACTTATATTTTAATCTTCAAGAAAGCATATAAAATGTTAAAACTTAAACCTTACTTTGGACAATAGCTCCTGACTCTCAGGAGGCTGTTTGCTTAAACTTTGTGGTAATATAACCGTAAGCAACTCTGGCTTCTCTGCCCTTAAAGCACCTCGGATAACAGCAGCATTAGTCCCAGATGCTCCAGATGTATATATATGGTTTTTCTAAGGACATGAAGTTGAGAGACACAACGATTGGAATTGTTAACAAAAAATCGCAACTACTATTGAATCACCATTGTATTCAACGTAAAATAACTGCATCTTACAGTTATAACCATAGCATAGCTAAGAATCTCAATTAGTTCCTGGTGCATGAATCCCATGTTCCGTGTTCCAAAAAAGCCAATAGCTCTAGGTCCTTGCTGTTGAATGGCCAATAACTCCTATGATAAAACAAAACTTAGTTAAAGTTAATGTACACGTTAATGTCAAACAGACAACTGAGGTTGCAATAATTTAAGATTATGAACATTTGTCAGTTGTGTTAAAATGGAATGTCAAAGTAAAATGACAGTGCAAATAATATTCACGTAATATATAGTGTTACAAAAAGAAACCTAGTTAAGAATCTCGATATTCTTGAGGAAAAATACACTATTTAAAACATTTTCATACTATCATTCAATCATGTATTACCAAATTATTTAAGACGCCTATTATTGCAACCATTACCTATGAGCTCTAGCTTTTCAATGATGTAGCAACAAGTAATAAGACAATTAGGTTAAAGTCCTTACATCCACAATTGATCAAATTGAAACTGACTTTTGTACAATTATTAGTTCAGAAGCAAAATGGTTTAACGGTTACAAACCTGCAGATAATCAACATCAGGAACAGGCTTGAACTCTGATACACGAATTGACCCAGATCCTTCAACAACTGATTGGGCCTGAGTTGGGATTTGTGTTGCAAGTTCTTCATCAGAACCAAATAACGCCAACCCCTTCTCCAATTCATTATTGGGACTGTATGTATCTCGATCTCTATTCATATGTCCATAAAGCCACTATACGAGTACATAAAAACAGAGTCCCTGGTAGTAAAAATTAGTGAACAACAACTGCCCACAAGCCACAAGTTGTGGCGATGATGCAAGATCAAGCCGACATGAGCAGAAAAACCAAGAAAATACTACTAATTAACCTAATCACCACCAATTATTCCAGTACATGAAAATACAACTAGACTAGACATCACAAGTGTATGTATTATACAAGGCAGGAACTAGAAAACAGCATGATACAAGAAATTATCAATCAATGTAACTAATGCATTAGATAATATTAGTTTCGAGTTCTGGGAAGCGATGAGATAACGAAGGTTGCACAGATAAAATTTTGAAGATGGGGCGAGAGAGATACCGTCCGTCTAGAGGAGAATGGTTTGGGCGAGGGCTTCTTGCAGATACCGAGGCGTCTGTGCTGAAACAGAGAGAGAGAGAGGGAGAAACTAAAGAAGGCATTGAAATTAGGGTTTGGTATGTGGTTGAAGGAATAAGAATGCGGAGAGAGATAAGAGGAGGAGACGATGGAGGAAGTAGGGAATAGGTTCAGAGTTAGAGTCACTGTTGCACTCATTCCTTCTTCCTAATACTCCTACACTACTATCTTCCCTTTTCGTCTTCCTTTCCTCGATTTCTTCCTCGCCTTTAGTATTTTTTTCTTTCGTTCTTTTTCCACCTCCCCAACCTCTCTGCCTCTGCTTTCCTTCGGTTTTTTAATATTCTCTATCTTTATCGTCGCAATCCAATCCTAAATAAATGTTACCCTTTTCCTTCTCAGAACTGCAAAGGCTGAGAACCTCCCAACGAAGGACCTGGGACCCACGTCCTTTTGGACTTTACATTAAACAAACCCAAATAAAATCAAACTTTTCATTTTCGTCTTTTATTTATCCTAAAGTTTTATTACAATAAACACAAATTTTATTAACTTCCTCCTTCATCTTTCGATGTGTCCTATGTATGGGGTGGACAGGCTTCGTCTATGGAAAATAGATTGCATTAAATTAAAAAAATCTGTGAAAATTATTTTTTCACTCTTATTTTACAATTAAATAATTTTATTCTCTTATAATAAAAATAAGTGAATTAATATAATTATTAAATAAAATACTCATTGACAAAAAAATTAATTAAAAAATATCTTTCATCAAATTTTATTTTTAATTTTTAAAAATTTTAAAATAAAAATAATTTGTAAAAATATTTTCATAAAATGGTTAACAAATAATTTTTTTAAAAAACTAAAAATTATTTTTAAAAATAATAATCAAACAAGTCCTTATATATATATAAGATAAAATGAAAAAATAATTATATTTTTAAGTCTCACTTTGATTAAATCATGAGCTGGGAAGAAAACTAATAATATGAATCCACATTTTTATATAATTTTTCATCCTAATTAGTCAGCATCTCTCTATTATTATTATTATTATTTTTTTATGTAAATAATTCAATCCCTCCTGCATCACTCAAACCTAATACATTGGTCCAACGACACTTTCATCTTCCCATTTTATTCAACTAAACATTTAAAACATTTTTCATTTTCTCTAATTTGTAATGCGTATAACACTTTTCGTGCAACTAGTTAAAAAGTCGCTCAACCATCTTAAATATGGTATATTAATATTTAATCCTGTATTGTTCTAGGATTTAAATTTTAACAATTTTTATGACTTTTGAATATTGATTTTAAATATAAGTATACTTTATATATATATATATATATATATATATATATATATATATATATATAATTTTAGAATATAAGAATTTATTAACCTATTTATTATACTTAATTATTTTGTAAGGGTTTTGGTTTTACTATAATAATATCGTTAAGATTAGTACTAATTTGCTTTGAAAATATAGTTCGTCACAATTTTATGTTTAAAATGTGTCTCGGTGAATTAAAAATGATAAATTCAAAATTTCATGAGAGATATTTCTTTTTATTGGAGAACAAATTTCACAAAAAGAACAAGAGATTTAAAGATGAAAACAACAACAAATAGACAAAAGGTTAATGTTATGGTAAAATATCAAATTCAAAAATATATTAAAAATGATGTATAATGATATTATAAATATTTTATAATGATCAATTTTACTTTAAGATGAAAAAGTAGGATAAAAAAAAAGTTCGAGATAAAGAGATGTGATTAAATCTTGTATCCATTATAAATACAATAATATTACAATACTTATACGAGTAAAACTCTAAATTTTAATAATCATATTTTGTATTACTAAATTAGATATCTCACATTTTTAATATTCATTTAATTGGCAATTGCTTGCATATTCATGGTTTTTTTTCCACTCCTTCAATTATAATAAAATGACTACTATAACCTTTTTCAGGTCCTTACATTTATCGAAAAATGCAACCCAAAACATATTAAAAAACTTTCCCATTACACTTTCCTAAAATCATATTGAAAAATATATTTTAACATTATTTACATGAGATTTTTGTTTTTCACTTAATATTATTTTAACATAAATTTTCATTTATAACATCCTGAAAAATATTCTTTTATAAAAAATCAAATATTGAGATTTTTTTTCACTAACATCCTAACTAAATTATAATTCAGAAATAACATCATTTAATATTTAAAATATTTACCTGATTAGCATACTACAAAATTTATAATTCAAAAATAATATTATTATAAAATAATTCAGATATGATTTTCAGTTATTCCAAATTGATTGTAACCCATAACAAAATTCAACATTACAAAATCTAATTCTGGAACAATTTTAAATATAATCCGTAATGTTCTTTCTAGAAACACAAAATTTAAAACTGATAAGATTTTTAATTTATTACATGGATGTATGAACTTTCATTAATATAGTGTGTACTGTTGGCACACGTTAGCTGTTTTTTTTGTTAATCACACATGCATAGAACCTTTTCTTTGCAAGTGTCGGTTCAATATGTGGCTTTAGTCTCAGTTCCACAATGATACTGTCAGTTTCCTTTAGCAAATATAAGTTTAGAACTGTGCTTTAAAGCCTTCTGAAACACCAAGCAAACTATTACGAAAAGCATTCTGAAAACTAAAATAAAAAAATTTCGAAACGAATTTGATTTTACAGTTGTGAAATCATTCTAAATTATTCTGAAAAAGATACTTCATAATGATAAATATTATTATGGAGTGTTTCACAGCAGTCCAGAATCCTTTTTTTTTCCAAAATGTTTCCTGCATATGAAATTTAAAAACTTGTTTAATACGTTTTAGATTACATTTTCCGGAAATAGAAGGATTTTAAAAGGCATTTTCAATATTTTCCTGTGACGGAGAAGTTAGATTTTTTTTCATAAATAATACTGTTCTTAAAAATATTTTCCAAAATAGCACATCTGCAACTTTATTTACACAACTAGCACTGTTTACGGATTAAAATAATATTATTTAACTATTTAATGTTCACGTATTAAAATAATATTATTTTGCGCAATGAACTCTCGCTCAAGCGAAGAAACCCTTCGCTTGAGCGAGGAAATCCGTAAAAAGGGTTATCTCCGGTCAACTCTCGCTCAAGCGACGGATATTTCGCTTGAGCGATAAGTGATTAAAATATGTGGTGACCCAAGTTGCGTTATGTGGCTAACTGCGTTGGACGTTTAGCCAAATAATGCAACTTGGGTCACCACATATTTCAATCACTTTTCGCTCAAGCGAAATATCCGTCGCTTGAGCGAGAGTTGACCCGAGACTTTAGATAGCAGTTCTAGAACTAACCGCAATTAAAAATATATTTTAGATAGCGGTTAACGTGGAACCACTATTATATGTTCACTTCTAAGAGCGGTTAAAATATTAACCGCTCTTAAAAGTGAGACATATAGTTGGACCGTGGGCAACTCTCGCTCAAGCGAAGACACTCATCGCTTGAGCGAATAAATTTATAATCGATTATAACGTGAAATAATCGATCATAGTTTTAAAAATAATCGACATATAATAGCGGTTTCACATTAACCACTATGTAAAATATACTTGTAATAGCAGTTTGTTCTAGAACCGCTATCTAAAGTCTCGGGTCAATTATCGCTCAAGCGACGGGTATTTTCGCTTGAGCGAAAAGTGATTGAAATATGTGGTGACCCAGGTTGCATTATGTGGCTAACTGCATTGGACGTTTAGCTATGGTCAATTATCGCTCAAGCGAGAAGCCCATCACTTGAGCGAGGAAACCTGCAGGTGACCCAGGTTGCATTATATGATGTTGCTGAAAGGGGAGTTTGTTCTGTTTATGAAATTATCTTGTTTCTGTATTGTTTTACCTGGAGCTGACTGTAATTGATTCATTGAAGGTGAATATGGGAATGATAGCATGTAAAGAGAATTTAAAATTTCTTGACTGATGGTTGGTTGGTTACTCTGGGTTAAAGTGCTTGAGGTTGTGGGGCTGTCAAGCATCAATTATGTGGAGTGGTCTCATTACGAAAGTTTTCATTTATTCTTGTTATATTGAGTTGTATGACTGATATGTGCGTCAATAGTCAGCAAAAAATTCCTTAAATAACCTTTGATTTCATCAAACTCAAAAGATCTTCGTTTTATCAAATGATTCAATAAGATTTTCATCACTTTCAATTAATTGAAAAACTCCTAAGTTTCATACATTTCTTAACTAACACAATTTAATGATGCGAAGTAGATGCACATGCATCATTGGGACATGTTCTTCTGCTATGATCAAGGGTATGACAATATGAACATTTTTTAATCATACTTTGATGTTCTGTAATGTCCATCTCAGTTCTTATACGACTTGATTTTGGTCGGCCCTTTGAAGTTCTTTTCATTTCTGGATTTGCACACAAAGTAGGTCCAGTGTATGTTGGACAATATTCTTCATTTCGCAATAACCCAAATTGTGTTCCGTATACCTTTGAAACTTGTTGTAAGGTATACACTGAATTAATATAATTGTTGAAGTCATGATGTGCATGCAGCAAGAACATGTGAACAAGGCATGTGAAATTTTTGGAATTTCCCACAGTCACACCATAACTCATCAAGGTGAACTGCAAACTTCCCTGCTGGTCGAACTTCACGCGGGTTTTGTGTTTCTTCTACTACAAATTTTGTGGTAGACCTGTCAAACGTTATGACCCTGTGCGTGTTTGTGCTTCCTCTAAATTTTTTACCAAAATTTCAGAGTAAACATGACATCTATCTGCCTCCCTCTTTCAATGAAAAATTTGTTGCAACGGGTGTACGTTGCGGTGACCATGGAGCAAATAGGTAGATTTCTTATTTTTTTCAAAACAGAGTTGATAGACTCTGCTATGTTGGTCGTCATGTGGCCCCAACGTCGTCCATTGTCCCATGCAAGTACCCATTTTTCTCTAGGTATCTCATCCAACCAATTAGTTGCTTGTATGTCACATTGTCTCAAGATGTTGTAATAATAGTAGAATCGTGGTTCAGTCATCCCATACGCTACAACAATATTAAAAAAACATAGTTAATATAAATATTTATTAGCAACAATTAAATAATGAATAAATTGTAACAAATTTGAAGCAAAGGAATTACCCAT